GGGGGCTGTGCTTATGTTGTAGCAATCCAGTAATTAAATGTCATTGTTGAAACGCGTGAGTGTCATTGAAAGAATTTTCCTTCCAAGACGCCCTTCTACATTATTATGCCTTGTGATTGAGGATATTTGTTTTCAAAGTTGATGTTATTCATTCCTGTTGCCTCATAAACATGTGTTCCTAGAACAATTTGGCTGTTAATATTATTGCTGGCTGGTAATCTGACTTGTTTTTATTGTTCTATACTAATGAATGTAAGAACGTTTTACAGTAATAACTACCTTTTATCATCAGCACTTGCAGTGTATGAAGAATTGTCAGTTTATTCGTAACTATATGAAAAGAAAAGTCCCTTAAAAATTGTTCTCAATTTCGAGGGAAAAAAATCATCTCAAAAAATTGTTCTCAATTTTCAAAAAATCTTCTCCAAGAAATATTTTTTTATAAATATTGTATGACAAACATTAGACAATTTTTTTATACGTAACTTCCTTCTCTATTCTTTTCTGTGACTCTTACGGTTGAAGATAGAAGAACGATGCTTCTAAAAGACCTCATAATGTTTGTAATATTTTAGTGGAGAAACCTGTTCATTGGAAATGAATGTGGTTTTCTGTTCTGAAAAAATGTCAATGATAGGCATTTCACTCTATTAGAAATAAATGTAATAATATTTTACCTTTGTATACACGACTCTATCATATCACATGCCATCAGTTTTAGCCGCTGTTCCAAATGTTGCCGAAATTCAGCATCAGGCCAATGAAGATCTCTTATGAAAGACTGTAAAGCATCTAATTTCCAAAACAAATCTTCAGATGTAGCACATCCATTCCTAAAACAAATGTAATTGTTAAAAGTATGATTAAATAAATATTATTTCTCCTAATTCATCCAGAAAAGAGAGTCAAAATGAAATTATGAAAGCAAATGTCAGAATATAAGGAGTAGCAACGCACTCAATTTTATTGTTCATCCCGAGATTCCATCATAGGCATCTTACCCTTTTATTTCCCAGCGTTCCTTTTCAAACCCTTTGTGGATTGACTGAGCAATGGATGACTCCATAAGATCAACATATCTCACTACAAGTGGTGCAAATGTGTCTCGAAGATGTTGGTGAAATCTTCCGTTCTTCAAGTTGTCTACAACAAAGAAATATGCAATTACAAAATATTTCATGTATTAACTTTCTACATAAATTAGTCAATCCTAAAAGTACATAGGCTTAATATGTCAACTTATGTTTGAGTAGTATATTTTAAAAATATCAAACAACATATTAAATTTAATTTAGAAGAGATAATTAATTTTTAATTTAAAACATTTTGAAAATGCTACTTTAAATACCCAAGGAAATTATATTCAAGTTGTTATTGAGACTTTTTTTCATGGAAGCACATTCCCGGAAGGACGACCAACCATAAATTTGGGATGTCATTTCGCACCCAGGACAATAAGTTTTAATAATTCTCCTAATGTATTAGTAATATTAATGTAGAAAATATGTCGCAACTTGCTTATCATTGCACCTCTAGTGGTGGGTTCTTTCATGTTGACAATTTTGTGTGCGCTACGAAAGTTCATATTAAAAAGAAATTTTAAAAAACAATAAAGTTGTTTGGGCCGATGAGATGGCCGAGATCGCTAAAGCAGTAGTGCCGTAGCGGTCTCGGACCAGAAGATCGCGGGTTTAAGTCCCGCCTCAGACATAGGTGTGTTTGTGTACGTCTTTTTATATGTTATGCTTTCACCCCTCACTATCATCATTTTATCTTCCATTCCCCCAGGACTTACAAGCCTGAAGTTAAAAATCGCTAGCTTAGCTAAATGCTGATCCTCTGATAAAATTACATGTACCTGCCACCGAGATAATGTTTCTGAGCCCCGGTAAATGCAGAGTGCATGCACGCATGGTCCAAGTCGGCCTATTTGCGGACAAAAAATATTGTTCCTTTTTAAAATTAGTGGTGCTTCGACAACATGTTCTTTCACACGTCAGTAACGGTTGCATAAAATTATAATACCCTAATTTCTGTCCTTATTAACACATTTCAGTAATCACTTCTAAAACTCATTAGCAATCATAGTACATTAGGCACAAAAAATAATTCATCTAAAGGTAAAACACAACACAAATTGAATTCTGAAAAACTCTGTACCACACACCCAATAACTTAATGAGACGTTTTTCTGATAATTTCAAGAACTTGTACATGACCTTATTTCAAGATCTGGTTTTGAACAACAGCTTTCATTCAGAAAAAAATCTTAGTCTTTAATGTAGTATAGAGAGGCGGAAAAATTGAACTTTTGTAATTTTCGAAAAATTATAAATTTAAACAAAAAATGAGACCTGTGCCATTCTTGTAAGCCTTCTTTACGCTATAAGAGGGCAAAGTTTAATGAAAAAATTGGAGCCACTTTTTTAGAAAATTGTGAATGTGTTGAAGTTTCACGTAAAGAACTTTACATACATCAAAATATCTGTTTCAAATTCAAGAGACCGTAAAATCCATCAGACCAATTAGGGAATATCATTTTTGGTGAAAATCAATTTTTTGGTAAAGCCGCTAGTGTTGTTCACAGACAGACGGACATACATTTTGCCTTCAATCGATTTTTCAGTACGAAGGACCCAACAAGCATGGATTCTGATTATCCACTTTCTTGTTACCAGATTGACAATATGAGTTTTTCTGTCGAAAAATCGCCGTATTCCCCCACAGCAGTACAATACTTTCTCTATACTGCATAAACAGTAGGTAAGAAAATAAAACTCATGTTTAATTACATTGGGGTCATTCCACGTCTAATCGCACAAATTTAAGAAAAAATCCACCTTGATGCACCAGATTTTAATTTTTTTCTGTAAAGAGTACAAGCAAAAATATGAAACACCTGTTTTTTATTTTTCTTCAAATATTATTTTTCGAAAATACATTAATTTTCGAAAAAATTGCTCGTATTGCCAAAGTTAATAATTTTTAACTCGTGTTGCCATTGTGACAGAAATTTAATATTTTGCGATATTAAAGAACAAAAGATGCTCTTTCATTTGCTGTATATATTGAATTCATTAATTTTTTAAGATCATTTTTACCAATTTTATTTAATCTCTCCCAAAACCCGTCAGTTGAAATTTGAAAAAAGATACCATTGAAATCTCTGAAACGTTCTAAATAGTCTGGTTAATTACAAAGTGAGACATTGAGATGACTTTGACATTTAATTCTGAGAAATTAAATGCAATAGAAATGCCTACTTGCTATTTTGCTGCACGTTTGCAAGAGCGTTACCCCTCAAGCACGTGCGAACCAGCAGTAGACTACTACCATCAATATAATTTCACAGAGCAATAAAGAGAAGTATCCCTTCACATTTTACTATGTGCCATGTACCTACGTATGACCTTCATAGCCGATTAAATTAAAATTAAAGTGTCACACGGATTCAATTTATTATTAAACGGACGGAATAATTATATGAATAAGAGTTGGTGAGACAGTTAATTACGTTGATATTTCTTTTCCTGCATTTTACAGAGAATATCGTTAATTCGTCGTTTTTTAAAGAAAAGAAACTGTGCATTTTCTTTATGCTGTCTACTCTTTTTTTTATATCATTGTTGCAGTAGTCTTCTTTCAAATTATTATTTAGCGTTGCTAAATATATAAAGGTAATGTTCTTCACATTAGCATCAGTCCACTTAAATATCTTCCTGGGTAAATTAAAAGGTTCCTGTGAGAATCGAAGGCTAGCTTTTATCGAGAATTTTATAATTGCCTCCTCTCATCTCGTCGCATGGTCCCTTTTCATAAGATGTTACGAAGCGAAGAAATGCCATTCAGCACTTACATTGTAGGCATCTTTGTGGAAGCTTAAAATTTGAAACTTGAAAATTTTGAAGTACGGGCTCTTCAATGTTTTTCATATTTCAGTATTTGATTAACATTGTAGTAACTAAAGGGCAAATTTAAGTCTCCTAGCTTGAAAGGATTGGCTATAACAATAAGAGAAATGTTATGTTACTGCACTTGCAAGACTTTAAAAAATATTTCATAATAAATACACTTTTATTCATAACTGAACAAACGCGTACCAATTAAACATTGATGAATATACGCTGAAATTAAACGATATTATTTTTATAATAATATTCGCAAACATTGATGTAAAATGACAGCAGTGGGGAGCTCTCGTGGCTCAGTGCGAAAGACCTGCCTTTCACCACTGAGGTTCCGGGTTTCCGTAGAATCCCCGTAGAACCCCATGTGGAATTTGTTACGACAAAACGAGCTTGCCTGCTGCACAGGGGCTAGTCCAACCATGGTGAAGCGTACTAAACCTTACACCTATCTTATCCCTTACTTTGGGGTTAGGGCCTTGGTCTGATGCACAGTTGACGCGCGATGGACTCACGTGCTTTAGCAACTCCATGTGGAGTTGGGGGTGGTGGCTGAATTGAGACTTTACCTTCATGATTATTAGTAAGCCCTGATGAAGAAATTAAATATTTCGAAACGTTGGCACAACTAATTGTTTCTCTACTCACTATGACTGCAATGATGACTGCGATGAAAGCAATTTTAATTTATTATTTATCAATAGTTGCAATTTTACAATGTTCACTTACACCTATCCTTATTATTTCCCAATTTTGGCCGTTGGGTAGATGATGCAGGGCGCGTGCGAGACGTGCGAGATGTGCGCGTGCGAAATGTGTCTGGCCTTTAAGGCCATACTCGCTCGCACTCGAGCAACTCTGTCCAACACTAGACTGAGTGAGAGACGGGTGCTTTGGAATCACTGAAGGTCGGGTACAAGGGGGACCTTCAGGAAGGGTTGATGACGCGTAGAGCAATAAACGTCTTTGTTCATGGCACTTTCCTCACTGTCGGAATGTTGTCGTGCGAATTTCGTTGCGATAGGGAGCTTGCTTCGAACGTTGGCCATTGGGCGAGTAAGTCGTATTCATTGTTCATTTGCTCTAGCTGTGTATTGAATAGTAAAAAATTGCATGTCAAAAGCTTTATTTAAAATGCTCAAATCAAGAAAAAGGTAGAATACTTTGTGGCGCTACAACCCTTTTGAACTTCAAAAGTATTCCAATCAAATCGGGAAAAGGAAGATGACCGAAGAAATGCGTAAAAAGATTCCGCACTTAGTGGTTGGAGATTCAGTTTGTGACGGTTGTCGTCATGAAATATACAAAATGACTGCTAACATTCCTGTTGTTGAAAATGAACAAGAAACCGAGGTGAGCACATCTCCAAGTGACGACGAATATTTGCATGAAAATCAGCAAGTTGCGAGTGTTAGTAATTTAAATCAACTTTTAACTCCTTTTGGCCACTCCCCCTTTTCTAAATTTAAACTTTCACTCCCACGTTTCACTTTAAAAGTTTTATACGCTAAAAGCAAAGCTAGTGCTGTTAATGAAAGTGCAGTAAGTAAGATTGGTAAATGAGATTGTTAATGCTAATGAGAAAAATGATGGAGAAGAAATGATTTGCTAATTTAAAGATAAATTCTCAAGTGTCAAAACAGCGAATGAAAAGTACATGTTTCTAACTTGTCTATCAAAGACCTGGAGTGAAGATAGGAGTTACTACTCACGTAGCTCATGTTGCCAAATTAACTCAAATGTAAAAGGACATTATGTCAATTCTAGATAGAAAATATCATCGGCATCTCTCAGATAATATGATAAAACTTGTAACAGATTTTCATCTTGAAAATGATATAAGCAGAATCATGCCTGGTATGAAAGATACGAAATGTGTTAAGGAAGGAAATAAAAAAGTTAAAAGCAAAAGAGACTTCCTCTAGCAAATCTGAGAGAACTTCATTAAGAATTTAAGAAAAGGCATCCAAATAATAAAATCGGTTTCTCAACATTCGCATCTCTAAGGCCAACGAAGTGTGTACTGGCAGGAACTCCAGGTACGCATAATGTTTGTGTGTGCGTCATTTGCGAAAACACCAAAGTAATGCAAGCAAGTAGAAGTTAATCAGAGTTATTTCTGAAAAATGACATCTTGCATCTTCAAAAATTCAAGTTTCGTAATTTTATAGCAAAGGCGCAGAGAAGCTATTTGCTGCATCTGAAAAAAGACATCTAAAAGGAGAATTCATCATTATC